ATTGTATCTATACCGTTATTTACAGAATGTAAATCTTTTCTCATTGTTTACACTGAGAATATAGCAGACTGTAAAGTATTTTATAGATTTACAGTAATCTTTCTTTCCTTGTTACCATTTCTTTAACTGGGATTTATAATTTTGTCAAAACCAGACCAAGTGTCTTGTAAGGATTGTGTGTATGTATGATTTTCATTATTGTGTTTTGCCATAGGTGGGGCAAATTAACAATATATTCTGTATGCTTACTATTACACTGGTTAAGGTGTAATGAACCATATTACCTATTGCAGGAAAATTTTTATCTGGGAAAATTTTAGTAGTCCTTTTTGTCAGAGGGGGTAAAAGGAGGCTCTAGGTACTAGCTGATTCAAGGTCATTCTCAGGATTTAGTTTGGTCCAATTTTAAAGGTCTGACAGAGGGAATTTTCTGTTATGTCTTTCAGAGAAGATACTTTGAAAAATCAATAGTTGAACTATCTTGCTTTTATGTTTCTTATCCTCTTGAACAGCTGTAATCAGTTTTCCAACCCCTAAATGTTTTGAAGAGTACTTTTGTGTAAATTAATGACAGAAACAAATTACTAGAATTTCTCTAAAACAAACAGCAAAAAATCAAATTTTGTGTTCTTCAATAACTGAGATTTTTAAAATACAATAATACATGCTGTTGCTTTTTGGTTTTGATACTAAAAAATAAACCAACCTCTGAGAACATTAGTAGTCACTTTTACAATGTAGAGAGAAAATGGGAGCAATTCCTACTGAATAGAGAAATCCCTTGTCCCATTACTCTATGTGATCACATGCAAAGTGAAGCACCAAAAAATAACAGACTTGAGGATTCAAAAAAATCTATATTTTCATATATATATTTATTTTTTTTAACCAGTTATAGTTTTAACTTCATTAAATATACAGATAGGCTGACAAGTGCCTACTGTCAAACAATAAAACATAACAAATAAGAGAGCAGCAATTGGTATCTTTAGGTAGTATCCTAATCTAGCTGTCTTTGAAATTTAAGGTTTTTTCTTTATTTCTGACCAAGTTTTATTGGTCTAATACTTAGGAGTTAGACTCTGTCCTGTTCCTTCCAGACAGATAATCTGTTCAGAGAACTTGAGCTGTCCCAGGGTAGCTTGCAGCATATTACCATGTTGTATTTTGTGTTCAAGACAATAATCTACCAAGGACAATTTAACAAATCTTCCGAGTTTATTGGAAGCGATAAATTTCATTTGCAGAGGAAAATACTTTGCTGTTGCACTGATTTCCTAAAACTGTCTTGATGCCAAAGTCAGCTTATCCTTAGAACAGATTAAAATGTCTGTAGTGGTTTACAATGAGGACTTTCACGTCCAAGACTTTTCATCTATAAATCAGTTAGATTTACATGTTGAGTTTATATTTCTATCGATAGTGTTAATATGACTAAGAAAAAAGCTCCAGCAAACCACAATCCATACACAAGGCTGTATGTTTTTTTGTGAAACACTAATATATTAATCAATCAGTGACTGCAAATTAATCTTCTCATCCTTGTTATCGAGTATTCCCAGGTGTTTATATATTTGTAAAGTATAAATTGAAAGAACTTTAATACTAGCAACAAATCTGCATAATACAAGGACTATAAGGCACAGTGTTTGTCCCACATCAACAAGAAAATACAGAAATATTCATAAAATAAAATATAAAAGTGAGTGATCTTCCTATCTGAAAAATATATTAGTTTCTAAGAACATAACAATACCAAACAGAAAGAAGAAATCACAATAACAAAAATAAAATACTGTTGCGTTATTTTGTTAATGACCCCATCTTGTGGAGCAGCGCCCACGCTTCAGCACATTAATAGCTCTCATATACATTTATTTTAACTGAGACCTTAAAGAAACTGGCATTTCTTGATGGTGAATTACTTAGCATTCCACTTGCTGTGTCCAGGGAAGTGCTCTGCAGGCAATTTGTTATTTGTGTATTATGGCTGTGTAGCAATATAACAGTTCTTTGTCACACAATGGCATGCCAGGGTTGATACTTCACATTTTAGTATTTGGTTCAGCCTCAGGTCACCACCACAGCTCACTTCCCCCCATTGCCCTTGCTGTGTAATTCCTGGTGCCATGCCTGTGTCTCACATGGACCTGCTGACAGAGTTTCTTGCTGTTGTTAAGAGGGGGAAACCCATCTGCAAAACTGGAGCTTGCAGAATCATTTATTTGCACCACAGAGGTGCAAGTGAGAGTGATCTCTGGACTGAGTCTTGCTCACCAAGGGCCGGCCCGATGATGGTCATAACCAGTGCCAGCCTGTGCTACATCTGCAAGAGTTACAATTTCATTGTTTTCTATTCCCAAATAGCTGCTCACAGAGCTTGTTGAACTAAGCTTAATGATTGGCAGCCTAGATATTTTATTGTAAAGAGTTGTCCCATTGGACATCCTTTCATCGTAATCTGGGTAAATCAGCTTTGCCAGCAATATATATTATGCTGGTTGCTGAAGTTGTTTTCCAAGCACATGAGATATTTAAAATAAATAACCTGACATGTTCCCACCCTCTTCAGTTGAGCACATTTCCCAGGAAGGCTGCGTATACCCTTAACTCTCAGTTATGTATGAGCCACTCAACTGTGAAGTGAAACGCTTTTTTTCATCTTTTTAAAGGAATATTTTGCACACACTCTTTGAGGAAGTGGGTTTCAACCATATTGGTGAACTCAAAGCGGAGATTGCAGGCTGCAAATGGAAAACATGTAGAGAACATGTACAGCCCAATTAGGAAAGGAGGATTGTTTTTTTCAGCTCTTCTGAATAGACTTAAAAAGATGATATTGCATGATCTTGCTTCGTGTGTCAATATCCTTAGTTCCTTGGAGACCAGATTATGGTGCTTTGATCTCTGTTATCATTTTTTAAGATAAGCAGTTTTCAACTGCATTTTGATCTAATTTACAGGCGGATGCAAAGGTATGAATTGCATGTAGACAATATTTGCAGATTTCACAGATAAAGAAAATTAGAGGCGAAAAAACAAGCTACAAATCTCTGTGAATACAGTATTTTTAATGCACTTGTGATATATGCACTTTTGATAATGCACTTTTGATATATCTGATCTCATGTTCTTATAAAAATTATATTTCTGTGTCATACGTACTAGAGATGTTTGTACATGACATTTGCACATGAATGCAAGAATGCAGATTAGAAGATTGTAATGTGGGATACATATATCTGTGATTTTTAATTACCTATTTAATACCAAATGGAAAGATTCATGTGGGTGTCACCAAATTTGCATAATATGCCTTCCCTAACACCATGCTAATGAGGTATTTATGCTATATAGCATCATCTTATGTTGTTTTCTTTTGAGATGCCTATTGTGTCTTCTACATGAAAATAAATATGGGGTTTAGCAACTGTTATATAGATTTATATGCTAAATGAACTGAGCTGATGCTTGATGCCTTCTCCTTGAATGATTGAAAGGTTGTAAAAAGTAAACACTTCCAGCATTTTCAACAGAAAGACAAATATTCCACAGTCTTGTCACAGGTACCAGAGTTGGCAATAAAGTAAAATGTTTAACTGTGTGTGTAGTTTAGAAAACCTTTTTATTTGCTGTGTAGTTCTTAGTTCTTAAGTGGACTTTTGAAAGTTGCAATACATTAGTTAATGGGACCAAATGTTTCACAAATGTCCCAATAGTACCTCTCAGCTCCAAGCACGAGCCAACATATCAGTCTTTCTTGTACCCACTCTGCTCTTTTCCTACTACTTTCCTCTCCACACACATTGCGCTTGGAAACTTTGGCAAAATCATATATTAATCTGTTCTGTATTAAGGAAAAAAAATAGTTAAAATATTTATCTTTTATTATATTTTGAAGATAAATACTGCATTTTTATCAGGGGGAAAAACCCCAAACAAAACAAAGCAAAACAAACCTTCTTTGTTGTTTATAAAGCCAACTGTTACCTTTCAAGGGAAAGCAAAATATTTCAAGTCTAGTGTGGGAGAGAACTGCATTTTGCTGCCTTTCTGAGTTTCTGACCTTCCAGAGTCTGGACTTGAAGCTACGCCTCCTTTTACACTCAGTTCTGAGAAGTCAGTTAACACTTTTTCTGTAGTCCTGCCCTGCAGGATGGAGAGTTTGTTATTATTTAATTGTGTATCAACTTATAAATACTTCCCAGTGACTTAAAACTGAATGACTGTTTCATGTAAATTTAAATCACCTTCGCTCTAAAACATCTATCCATTAAAGACATATATCCTAATTTCTCATGTGAAAAAAGGGTCCTGAGATGTTTAGAGGTCCATGTGGTAATTCAGTCAATATTCTAAAAGCGTTAACATTTTTGCTTCAGTTCTAGATGTCTTGAAATTATTGCATCATACCTGTCCCATGGCTAAGTAGGGAATCTGGCTGCTCTTTTGTGAAGTCAGATTTTCTGTTGTACAGCATTTAACAGATCTGCAGTCACGTTGGGTGCAAGTGTGGCTGCTGTGCTGTGATGAGAGCTGCAAAATTCGGTAAAAGCCTTCCATTCATCTCTTTAGGTTTTGATCTCTGTCAGAGAAAATGAAAGCAAGAACCTTGTCTAACTAACGGCAGTAGTTAGCATGTTGAGAGAGGAGTTTCAGGAGGATGAGAAAATGAAATCCCTTTAGGTGACTGGCTTGAGGCACTTAGTTAAATATAAAGTAAAGGCGTTCTTCTCCTTCCCCAAATACACTTCCCTTCTTGTGACAGTTGAGTGCCCTGAATTCTTGCCTTAGGATTGCCCTTCAAAGAGCAGGGCTGTGCCTTTCATTTGGACCAGTACCCAGCCAGCGGGCCCCTGACCCCACATTGTGTCTTGCAGCACTTCCACAGAAATACTGAATGATACCACTGATGATAAAGGTTATATTTGCATTTTAGTCTGTTTCTAACATTTCCGTCTCTTTTCTCTTTTTTCTTTTGCATGCTTTCGTGGGTACAGCAGACCATTTAGGAATTGAATTCATGGGTAAGTTTTAATTTTTCTTCCTTTCACTTCTCATATTTGTCTTGCTACTTGAAGAACCAAAGAACATGGAAGTTAATGGGAGGACTCTCATGACTTCCATCAATGGGTTTTGGATTGGGCTCCTGTTATTTTTATCTATTACATTTGAAATAATATGAAGGTTTAATTTTTCTCTTGTCCACTGCTATAGGTCTTAAAAACTTCATAATAATGTTTTAGTATTTCATTGGTATTTAATGAAACATAACATAAACATTATGTGGCCATATCATGACAAATGAGGAATAATATTCCATATAAGATTTTAGGGTAGAGTTAATGCCTATTTTCATGTAAAGAAAAGTAAATTTTAAATTAGAATTTGTTATTATTTTTAAAGAATTTGGTGTTGATTACAATATAAAATTTAACTAGGTTTAATAAGAAACATTTCGTCTCAATAATGAATCAATCTTATAATAATAAGAAACATATTCATCTCAAGTCAAAGAAAAAGGACAAAGATCCGTAATTCAGTGAAATAAGTTAACTTGGTTAGGAAAAAGCTAAAACAGGAGTGAATAATTGCTTCTTACAATTTTGGAAAGGAAAATATTAAGTTCTGTTGGCTGAGTTGCTGCTCTTTGATGTATTCATAGTCTAATGAAATGATAGGCTTAACAGGTCACCACTTCATCTCTCAGCTGGTGATCTTCAGAGAGCACAGGTAACTTCCTTGAGGAAGCTGAGACTTGTCCTTAACAGTTACTGGTCTGTTGCCTCCTGTGTATAAAAACAGCTTGGATAAACCATTAAATATGACTGAAAACACTATAATAAGAAGCTTGCAAATTCCTATTTAAGTAATTAAAAAAATACTTTTATTTTATTGTTTCCCTATGTTAAGTTTTACTTAATTTTTTTTAAGTTTTAAAAACAAGAGTCTGATAGTCTATCGATTTTAAATGGCAATATGGGGATTTTACTGACCAGTTAAGTATAAATTGTCAAGAAACCAATATGGTGATGAGTATTAACTGCATGGCAGACTTCATTAACTAGAGGATAGCCAGCAGGTTGAGGGATTTTTTCTTCTGCTTTTGGACTTGTGTCATACCTAGAGCACTGTTTTCTCTAGAGAACTGGTTTTGTGATCTCCAGAAGTTTTGGTTTTCACTTCATTTTATATGAATCTTGAAAAGTGCCAGGTGTTTTCACAGACTTGGTGGACAAGCACAACTGGGAAATGGTTACTTTAAAGGCTCTGCACATATCCCGGCTTTCCTGCTTAACTTAAATAGTGAGCAGCAGTCTTGAGGCATACAAGATGAAGGACAAGCATATACATAAAAGAAACTGGATAAGGAATATAGATGTATTGGATTCTTACAGTGAACCTTTCCATAAGAAGCAAAAAAGTGTTACCCAGGAGGCAAAGCTGAATTATTTTACCTTTATTTCGAGTCTTTTAGTTTCCTCTTTTTTCTTAAGACGTCTCTTTAAGGCTTGAACTAAAGCCAGTCCCTGAAGTCTTGGTTCAGAGTAGTCCTCTCGTATGAGTAACTTTCAGATATTCTTATTTAATATTGGAACAGATCCTGGTGGTATAGAAGTTAATGGAATCTTTCATCTCAAGCCTGAAAATATGATGAAAGCAGCCTAAAATGAGGCCTGAAGTTGTTTTCTGTGGGCTAGAAAAATAAAGCTGCAGAATCGTATTCAAAAGTGAAATGCTTGTGCTTCCTAAATCCTCCTCTAGTCTTTGTGAAGATTTACTTCAGGAAGTTTGAGCATATATGGAATCATTACTGTACAAGTATGCAAAGTACAAATCCCCACCCTCTATATAATAATACTGGTGACAATATAGTCATCAAATTAGGGGCACTCATGCAAAGCCTCTTTGATGAGTTTACTTCCGTACTGTAGAAAATAATGGCAATTAGTGCAAAGAGTGTTTTCCATTTACAAAAAATAACAATGTGTAGATACTTCAGAGTTTAGCTTTGTTTGTACATGATTCAGGGAACACTCTAATGTTTTCATTGTATTTGTGGACTCAGTTTCCTTAGAAATTCCATTTCCATAATCATCTTCCAGAAATTTTGCTTGAAAACCATGTAAACCTGGATTGCCAGGGAAAGTTGAACTCCTTCCACAGTAGACAAACCTGAAATCTCGCGTAGGTAGGAACATCTGTCTGTAGGAGTGCCCCAGGGGACAGATGAAATGTACACTAACTACACATCTAGTTTAGTGTGTAGTTTTTGCCAAGGAAAGCTGAGAAGGGTAGTCAGTCCACTTTTTTTTACTAGACAATAAAGGATCATTGAAGTGTACATACCTACCCAGTACTTTTACTGTCCTGTTAGGGATCTATTCTCCATGAATTTGTGTGTGCTTTCCCCCACAAGCTCCCGTGGCAACCCATTCCAGAGCTCAGTAAAGGCTGTATGCATTGCTTTTCCATTACCTGTTGAAATCTGCTTCCTACTAGATCCTTAGTCCTCACACACAGTACTTTGAGAACAAGAGTTATGTATTGAGTTTATGTGCCACGCTGACTTTTGTGTTAACTTCTCTCATGGTCTCACACCCGCTTCCCCGCCTGGGTATTCTCAGGTTTATGTTCCATACAATATTCAGTATTGTGCATTGCAAAATTTGAACACCTGACACTTTGATATTGCTGCTGATGTTGGTTTGCACTGTCTGCTTCTTTGTATGAATAGCAGAGATGAAGGCAGGCATATTAACATGGCATATCTGTTTTAAATTGTTGCAAATGTAGCAATTAATGTACAGTTCTGATGTATTCATGTGCAGCTCCTATTGAATTAAATGAAAGCCAAGTACGTGTTCAAGGGACACTATGTCCTTAAAAATGTGGATTAAGGAGTGGCTCAAGTTTTATGAAATTTCTGGTGATAAGGAAATGATTTATGCTTTCTAGTATCTCAAACTAAAAAATAAAAAAAAGTCTTGTGTCTGATACTTACTCAATTCCACTTCCATCTCTGATGCGATCTGCTGGAGATGCATTGTGCGAGGTCTTCTAATCTGTCTGTGCTTTAGATTCTTGGTTACAGTAAATTTTGTCAGGCTTTCTGCATTTAGGTTCCTCGGCTCTCTGGGGAATATATCTTTCAGTAACACAGAAAGTGTTTCTTCCTCTCAAGAGGGTGCAGACCTCACTGTCTCCTTGCCTGTGGTCCCTGGTTCCTCATAAGGGAGCACAGTGATGAGTGGGAGAACATTGCACAGCTCACACAGGAGGGCAGCGCACCTGGTCTGTGTTGGTGCACGTGTCTACATGGTCCCTGGTGTCTCAACAGTGGTGATGCGTGGGGTTTTATTTAAATTTCCAACACAGAACTACATAAAAGTTGCCTCAATGTTCCTACAAACTGGAAAGCTACTAGTTGTATCAACAATTTCACGTCAATGGAAAGCAGGGTGGCTCTTGGTAATGTTAATGTGAACAAGAGAGATTGTATGTCTTGAAAGAAACAGCTTTTATTCAATGAAAAAACTAAATTATGTATTGTTAGCATTAGATAGCGTGGGGATACAAGTATGTACAGCTTACTATCATTTTTTGACCTAGGTGGTTTAACTGCACTTCAGGGTTGAATGGTTTACTTTTCCGATGGAAAATTTTTTGAAGCCAAATATCTCTGATAGCAAATGTGGTCACTTAGGTGCAACAGGTAGCAGCTGAAAGCTGAGTTGTGCCAACTGACCTCATGCGTGTTGTCCGAGCTGCAGAGTAAAATCATTGCCTGAGAGCAACCTTTGAGCCTGAGAGTGATCTTTGGAAATGAGTGTTGAGCTGCAAGTTCAGTACCTGGGAAAAGGAGCTATCTGTTTTACTAATTTCTTACACTGCAAATGAGTAGAGTTAAGGCATGTTAAAGGAGGAAACATGACGGTGAATGAGTATTGGAATAACCTGCTACAACACATGAACAAGTATGACTGTTTCAGCAGTTCCCCCACACCATCTAATCTCATGATCCAGAATCTTTATCTTTTATTCTATGACACTAATTTATGATGGATACAGTTGAAAGTAAAATGCTTCAATAAAGTGTAACAGCCGGGTTGCTGCAGTTTTGATGGAAATACAGTCATAGCATGAAGTAGTCTTCATTCTTGGGCTGCTTGGCAGTTAAACCACTAACAATGGTAAACAATTTTGATGTGATAACCTGAATCTGCCCATGTGGGGATTACAAAAATTATATAGTGGTTGGTCTAGTTAGTCACTACTTTTAACTTCTTTATACTTAGGCCTTATAGAGAAAATTAATATTTTTCCTTAGAACCACTTATCTTTTCTCGAAAAAATCAGAAGAATCTTCACTGAAATCAATGAAGTATGAATGATACACAATACCTTGTAAGTGCTGAATTGTTAAATAGCATTTAATTGAGCAGAGCAATAAAGTAACTCAAGAATGGGATCCTACTAAAATTTATATATCTCCTTGCAAGGACTACAATGTGAAATGTATTCAGTTTTCTGTACTCTAACCAACTGTTACTACTGGAGAGGATGGTACATACTGTATTTTCACTGTGCTGATTCTCAGTCCTTCCTCATTGTGATAGTGTGTACCTAAGGCTCTGGGAACACATGATCCAGTTAACCAAATGGACTCTGTGACCTTGTGTCATGCACTGTGACAGATGCATTTTGATTTTTTTTTCAAACTGCAGAAGTTGGTTTTGCTGATGGGCAGGATAAGCAGGACTGCAAAAACCTTGTATTCTTACCTGTTTGCAAGAAATAAAATAAAATGGTGAAGTTCATTAGTTCCTGCACACCTCAAAAAATGTGGACCTGGTGAGCTCTCCTCTGAAACTCAATGTCTTGTAGCAGCAGCCAGATAATGAAAATAAATAACCAGGGTGTGCATGTATGGTCCTTGTCTTAGTTACCATTTAGCAGCTCTTATCTGTTATGAAAACCTGTAATGGTCCAGTCCTCACTGGAAGGGAGGATGAGCATTCAATTA